AAAGCTCTTCCTTCTTTCCCCAATGCCAGCAGTTTGTCAAACATCATGTCCAACATGTCCAACTCCTTCTTCTCCTCTTCACCTACCGAAAAGACCGACTCAACACCCGGAATACCTCGCTGGCCGCCACTGTCTCAGGGGGCGACCAGGACTGCTCGACCATCGCGACCACATAACAACACCATTTCTTATCCTGCAAATCGGCCACAGCCAGGCTTGGTCCATGATGGCTCCGCAGACGAACCAATTCAGTCACCACTCTATCGCAAAGGATCTAACGCTCGCTCGTTGCGGAGGACCAATTCAGATGACTCGATTCTCTATCACTCGCTGTCTCGCGTCTCCTCTCTCGGCGACGAGACCATGTTTGACGACGTACGCGAAATGGCCAATGTCAGGATGAAAGCGATCAGAGACAGCCTGCCGGACAGGCCAAGCTTTAAAATGCCTAGCATGCCCAAATTCGCTTCACAGCGCAAGATGTTTCAAGCATTTGAGGAACCGAACATTGCGCCCATTCCCGAGCAACCAGCCTTCAGTCAAGAAGACGAGGATGCCGCAGCCCTCGATCGCGTGCTCGAGACCATGACAGGCGACCTGGTCATTCTTGGGGGCTATCGGGGTTCCGTGTTGCGTTCTGCAGAGGCGCCGCATCACCAACTCTGGGCCCCGGTTAAGGTGGGACTGAACTTGAGGAAAGCCGACCTTGAGGTAGGCTTGGATCCCGAGGACGAAGAAACCATGGAACAGCGCATCATTCCATCTGGTATGCTGCAGAACATCGGCCCCATTGACATCTCACGCAAACTGTTCAAAAAGGTCAGGTCTTGTGAGAACGCTCGGAACGGCAAGCTTCGCGTTTGGGATTATGGTTATGACTGGAGGCTCAGCCCTCATCTTCTGTCACAGAAAATGATCGCATTTTTGGAGAAGCTACCATCCAACCTGCCGGCGTCACAGGAGCCCAGGGGTGCCCTTGTCGTTGCGCACAGTCTAGGCGGACTGATCACGCGGCACGTGGTCAACCAGCGTCCCGACCTCTTCTCGGGCGTTGTCTACGTTGGTGTGCCTCAGCGCTGCATTAATGTTCTCGGTCCTCTCCGCAATGGTGATGCCGTGTTGTTCAATGAAAAGATCCTCACTGCACAGGTTAACTTTTCTCTCCGGACGACCTTTGCATTTCTTCCAGAAGATGGATTTTGCTTCATCGACAAGGACACCAAGGAGGAGTATCGAATCGATTTTCATAGCGCTGACGACTGGATCAAGTACCGACTATGCCCAGCCACCGATGCGGCCCTCCCAGCCCTGAACCCGAAGCCGGCAACCGGCTTTGGGTCCATTCTTCGCAATCGCAGTAGCAGTTACAGTGAGAAGCGGTACAGCCAGCCTCTGAGTAATTCCGTTGGCGATATGACTCGTAATGCCGAATCCACAAGGGACCGCCTCCTCAATCCGCAAATCGACAGCACAGGTTCAAAGTTGTCTCCGTCAGACACCCGACCTTCTCCTTTTGGCGCTGGGTCAGATTCTATGCCGCCTCCACCGCTGAATCGCGCCCGCAACATTGCGTATCTCAAGCGCACCCTCGCAGAGGTAAAGCGCTTCCGGGCTGAGCTGGCGCACAAACCGGCCTTCTCCGAGGCCAACGTCTACCCACCCATCGCCCTCATGTATGGCAAGGACACGCCGACGGTGTACGCTGTCAAAGTTGCCGGACGAGACGCCATTGCTCATGCGGACTGTTATGACGACCTTGTCTTCAGGCCTGGTGACGGCGTGGTTCTTGCACGCGAGGCTCAGCTGCCAGAGGGATACGAACTCGTCCGAGGGGGGCGGCAGAGGACACACAGGGGGCACCTCACCATGTTGGGGGATATGCCAGCCGTGGGACGAGCCATGGAAGCTGTCATTCGGGGGCGGAGAAAGGGCATCGGCATGGGCAGGCCGGATAGAGGACACAATGGCGCTGAGAGTAGCGCAGGCGCCTAGGAGACCCTGAAGCGTCGGGTCTGGCAGGCCTGGGGTGTGTGCTCGAGCTGCATGCGTATTGAGCAGCTCTCTCGGCCGCAGCAGTGACAGAGGCAGTGGAAGAAAAGAGCAGATAGACATCTTAGACATACAATCGCGTGTCTCACGACAACCCCATCGCCCAAGCCGATGACAGGGCGAACAGCAAAAAAAAAAAAAGCATGAATACTGTCACGAAAAGGACCAACGAATCAGGCGTGCAATTCGTCGATGGGTAAGATGATGGGCTGTCGTGGTGTTTCTATTGCCGGCACCTTCACGACCGCTGATTGGGCTGGCACCGCATTTCCTCCCACCCCTCCTCGCCGGTAAGCGCCGGGGCGGCGGCGACGACATCTGCACGCCGCGAGCCAATGCCGTGCCGCCGTGCCGTTCCTGCATATGGCACTTGAATAGAACCCCGCATGACCTTTGGGCGGGAACGTCCTTGGTGATCGGCGCCGTCGGTATTGAGGTCCCATTTCGCCAGCGCGGCTATCGTGCATGGGCGCGTCGCTGGGTCTCAGTCTCGGCGGCCAGAAGCCTTGTGAGTGTGGTAGGTAGCAGGCGGTTAGGTGGTGTGTGCTGGGGAGAGAGTGTGACTATTAGTATGGGATTCCGCACTCCTCTATAGGACGAGAGCAAATCCAATGGTATCGGTTTCCAGCTGTGCTGTCCGCTGTTCCTTCATCCTCGTCTCCTTTTCTCTCATTCTTGGTGTTCTCTCTGACCAGTTCCAATCCATTTATCCTTTAACTTGTAATCACCTTAACCTTGGACATTTCAGTCACTCCAAGGCCTTCCATCTCACTTTCACACGCCGATATTCAAAGACGGCGAAGCAGAGTAAACATGGCGGAAAGCAAGACAACGTACCAGACTTCCAACTTTGAGGTCGACACCCCGGCTGTGCCGAGCTTCGGCCGTCTGCGAGCCCTCAACTTCCTCGATGCCGCTCGCAACGGCCTTACGCTGCTGGCGCTGTGCTCCAGCATCACCATCCTCGGCGTGTCGGCGGACGCGCTCGCTGTGTACGATCAAACCCACGTGCGCGCCGAGTTTATGCTGCCGCTGTGGCCGGACGACTTTGACCTGCGGCCGACGACGACGCTCGTGGCGTGCAGCGCCATTGTGATCCTCGCCAACATTGTCTCCCTCGTCGGTAGCAAGGTCGGCATCGTAAGTGGCCTATTGTTTAAAAAAAATCTGGACCAACGCGGGAACCGCCCGTTGACGCATCTCGCAGATTCGCGACAACTTCCGCGCGCACGCCGCCCTCTCCCTCCTCGCGCCGCTCGCGTGCCTGACGGCCGCCATCGTCGCCGTGGGCCTCTCGTTCGTGATCCGGGCGTCGACGTCGCGCGACACGATCCACAGCTGGTCCTGCCGGTGGGAGGGCGTCTACATGGCGGCCCGGCCTCACTTTGAGACTCTGTGCAAGCAGAGCCGCGCAGGCCTGTACCTCGCCGTGCTGCTCGTGCCGCTCGAGGTCCTCGTCGTCGGTCTGGCTCTGGCGCAGGCTGTGCTGGAGCGGAATGCCGGGCCTGCGCCGCGCCAGGGCCGGAGCAAGGAGAGGAGCCCGACGCCTTCGTCATGATTTTGGTGGTTCGTTCTCGGTGGGAGTCTGTCTGTGTGCCCCGTTGATGGGTTTTTGGTCGTTGGTTTACGCGGTTGACTGGGCAGTACATTTGGGTTGGGCCCCGAGGTTGCTAGGTGGTGTATGAGTGGGTACTCCCTTTGATCTTGGGGGGCTGTATGTAATTGATGGCGCTTGGTGTTTGTGGTACTTAATCCTCTGCGAAACCGGAGTTCATGCTCAACATTGGAGATCATGCTCAACATTGGAGATGGGATCTCTGTTTTTCGCCCCTTCTCGTGTACTTCGTAGCCATGAGCTGGGCCCAAATTTCGGATCGGTCTAGCTCAGGATCGGATGATGGACGTGGCCGTATGCGCATGTTGGATGGTGCAGAGAGGTCATATCAACTTGAGACACGAGGCAATGCAGGTTGCCGACCGCGTCGTGTAGGCAGCCTGGGCTGACAGCAAGGGGGGCGGTCAGGTCGTGGCCCCGGCCTTGGGGCGTATTGTTGGGGCCAAGATACATGTATGGGAGAAGCACCGAGCGATGCCAAACGGAAGCCAACATGCCTGGAGTGAAGTTGAGTTATAGCTTTGGGGGGGCCGTGATACATGAGTGACCCGTTAATTGTTGGTGCTGGCCGTGTCATGGGGGCAGGACCCCAAAATGTGCCTGCCTTGTGTTTGCCACAGCCCGTCTTCGGGAAGCCGCTGCGTAAACCTCTTTCTGCAGCTAGTAGCTTCACTCAGACTACCTATGTGCTTAGATACTATGTGAACCCCAACCTGATACCTGAGGTGGTAAGGTATTTCACCTGCAAGGAATTCATAGGAAACCCAAGTTCTCACCTCCCCCATCCTTTGGCTCAAATCTCATCTGCGTCGATATCCTTGACCTCGAGGGACACCTGAACTTGAGATCTGACTCTGGACTTCCTGAGACGTTGAATACACATCATTGATATCGAGGCTACATTCGAGGACATCGAGTTTCTATGCGTTCGCTCTTCTGACCCCAGACAGGGCCTGATGCTCAGCACTCTGCTCTATGCCCACAACAGCGGCGATAAACTCCGACCAATACCATTTTCTACTGAGTATCGATCCCAAACCCCATACTTGGACTGTTGCAAGACCCCATTCTGCCCACAATGAGCAGCTCGTTGACAGTTGACAATATCAAATCACTGCCATCGCCCGTTGCACAGACACGCCGCCCATCGAATGCCGCGCAATTGTCCTTCGCCAAGCGCAAAGAGGCGCAGAGGGAGGAACAAGCCACATCGCTGCAGTCGCTCATGGATGGCGGCCATCGGTTAAGCTCGCGGTCCGTTTCGCGCCCGCTACCCGTCGATCCTACCAAGGAGTCGACAAAGGTCAAATCGCAGCCGACACTGGCACAATCGCGGAGCCGCTACTTCGAAGACGCCTTCCAAGCAGGCAGAGAAGTTAGCTCTACGAAGGACCGCATACGGAGCGAAGCTGTTGTCATGGCCGAGGTCTACACAAACGTCATCGTAAGCTGCCCTCCCCATTCAAATCTGGATTCTCTCGAGACTCAAGTCCGATTAGGTCGGCGATGAATTCAATTTCATCATGGACCTTTCCCACCAGCTTTCCATCCGATACCAGCGCCCCGTATCCTCGATTGTCGTCACATTGCAGCACGGCGCGTGCATGCTGTTCGGTGGCAGCTTCGACTCGGCTTACACCCTGTCCATATCTGGACTGCCGATCGAGTTTGCGCCGACAAAGAACAGACGTAACGCGGCCCTGTTACAGAAATACATGGAAGAGTCTCTAGGCGTCTTGCCGCACCGAGGATACCTACGTTTTGTACCGCTATCAGAAGAGAATGTCGCCCGGGACGGCAAGACAGTCGCAAGCGAGCTGGCCGAGACCCAAGGACTCGGAGACCAGCACGGTGTGGCCACAACATTGCAGCAGAAAACCAGCCGGAGACTTAGTACCAAGGTAAAAGAAACCCAAGTCCGCTCCGCTCCGGCTTTACTGACTAGACAGTCCATGTCTTCACTCAGGTCGAGATCCACCAATACCAACAACATGCCTGATGGGATTGATCTTTCGGCAAGTCATGGCATGGGAAGTGAGCCACCAGTGCCGCTCATGGCGACGGTGTGCGAAGAAGGCGAGTCGAAGTCGGGTGGCATGACGACTAATGCAGACAATGAGGTGCTGCGGAAGAGCCCGAAGGTGGGAAAGAGGAAGAGCTTTGTGGCATCATTTTTTGGGCGTTCCAAGCCGGGTGTCTGACTTTCGACTCCGGTGTCTGACTTCTGAGTTCCTCCTCATGAGGACAAGAGCTAACAGCCGGGATCATGGTGCCCCGTAGCATCACCCGTCTGCCTTGAAAAATGATAGTGAAGCTGTAGAGGAGGTCAGAAAGTCGGCAGCTGGTACCTTACCTTAGTGGAGTGGGGCCAGGGAGTTGACTTTGCCAGATGACGACACCCGTCGCTTACCTGATCAAAGGCTCGTGAGGATCGGAGTGGGGATTGGAGGGGCAGGTACCTGGAAGATGGCAGTGGCAGGAGCTCTCGCCAAGTACCCACCTGACGGTACTTGCCTGCTACCTTACTTAGGTGCCGCCTGCCTTTGTTGCTGCAGCACAGTAGCAGCTTCCCGACTGGATTGGGGCGACTGGGGTGGTCATCCTCTCACGTCGCCAGCTGTCAATTGCCAATTGCTTCACCCTCTTAGATCTCATCACACGAGCACCACCCATCCGACCACTTCGACATAGGTACTCAACAAGATATCCTGCCCCGATAAGGAAGCCTCGCGCTCTCAGACCTCTCTTTCACCCTGCACTGCAGCCTCGTTCTGAACCTGCGCGGCGAGAGTCACGAGGAACGGCGAGTCAACAGCCAGCGAGGTAGTCAGCGAGCCCACGAACACGAAATCGCTGAGCCCCATTCATCGTCAACCACGGCAGATCTCGAGCCGCAACCCATCCCTCCGGCCATATTCTAGTCGCAAACAGGCCTTGTTCGCCAGGCAGGTAGGCGTTCCCACGTCATATCACGTTAGACATGGAGGTGAGAGGCCGAACCATCTCATTCTCTTGCTTACCATTGGCCCCCGTCACTTCGCAAAACATCGCTCCCGTCTGCCCTCTTAATCCCCTCCCCCTTTGTATCTCATCTCCGCGTCCTCCCCTTTCCTATCGAGGATGGCCTCGCTCCGACCCCCTGACGCGCCTTGCGTCCTCTCACGTGCTGCAGTGACTGGGTAGTGCCCTCGCCAAGAGGAAGCCACAGCCTCAGACCCGAGAGTAAGGATCAGAGACACCACCAGACTCAGCCCAATGGACGGGACGCCATCGTCACTCGCTCTGCCTGGCCCTGGTCCTGTCGCCCTGGACTATCGTCAACGTTACGCCGCACTGATCCGCGTGGCCCGGATGACGAGCCCCGATCATTGGGTGCGCCCGCGCCTGGAAGCCTGTTTGCCGGTCGAACTCTGCCAGTCCCCGTGGTGCAATGGCCCGTCAATGACAGGGGTCGTCGTTGAGCTGAGCCACCAAAAACGGCCTGACCGTGCGACGGTGAGACGATACCCATGGAATATATATCTATCTTGGTAGCCCGGCCATGCTCCTCCCTGCCCGAGCCCGAGAGCCTGGCGCATGGGAGACCGGGCTACCCCCAAGCGAACAACTCAAAACCGTCAATCGCGGCCGGCCGCGGCACTATGATCCCATGACGAAAGCCCTGCCGTCGCCTCGCACTCTGTATCCCACCTGCGCCTGGCCGTCCATCCCGGCGGTGAGCCTCCATCCATCTCACGGACCAGCGTGACGCCCAGGCAGGGGAGACGCGAACCTGGACCCGCGAGCATAGGTCGTCTTATTGCTTCTTCGCCCCCGAAGAACGAGCGCTTCGGCAGTGTGTCGGTTGCAAGCTTGCAAGCGTCTGTGTGCTGTGCTGCGCTGGGCTTCGTCAGGCCCCAACGGACGTCAATGCACACTCGAAATCGCCTCCAGGTCGCGACCGATCAATAACGCCTCGAGTGTCCCTATCGGGTACTGGGTACCGGCCGGTCTACACGGCGCCCTCACCGCTCACCTGAGTTTGCCACTGAGCCCTTCATCCCACAACTCTACCATGACTTCATCTCCTCCTTACAGCCAGCTCTCGCCCTTCCAAGCGGACGTTGGCGATGATCCATCTGTGCAAGAATTAGTCGCTGGGAACAGCAACCACGAAAGTCCAGCAACGCTAACACTACAGCGTGTCTTTGAACAGAGTCGCCGAGGCGTCCCCAAGAAGGATGACGCAGACAAGCCCGTCGAGGTGCCCCCGGGGCCGCCAGCCAAGGGCAAGCCGAGACTGCTCCTGATGGGACAGAGGAGGTGAGGGCTGTATGCCGCGTGTTTGCGACGCCGAGGCTGACCATGCGCAGGAGCGGGAAGTCGTCCATATCCAGTGTCGTCTTTCACAAGCTACCACCCAACGAGACACTGTTCCTCGAGTCGACGGCGCGTATACAGAAGGACTCGATGGCGTGAGCACAGCCCTATTCGCTCCCGCATCCGCATATGCAAATACATATACTGACTGACTTGGCAGCTCATTCATGGATTTCCAGGTCTGGGACTTTCCTGGGCAGATCGATATCTTCGAGAACCCAACCTACGACATGGAGGCCATCTTTGGCGAGATTGGCGCCCTCATCTGGGTCATTGACGCGCAGGATGATTACCTCGAGGCCGTGCAACGCCTCAACACAACGATTCTCAACCTACAGAGGTCATATCCCAACATCAACATTGAGGTCTTCATCCACAAGGTCGACGGCCTCTCGGATGACTACAAGCTCGATATCCAGCGTGACATAACCATCCGCATTCAGGATGACCTTTCGGACCATGGCTTCGAGAATGCTCCTGTCACCTTCCACCTCACATCCATCTACAACCACTCCATCTTTGAGGCCTTCAGCAAGGTCATCCAGAAGCTCATCCCCCAGCTCGGTACCCTCGAGGCCATGCTCACCAACCTCTGCCGTACCTGCCGCTTCGAGAAGGCCTATCTCTTTGACGTTCTCTCCAAGATCTACATTGCCACTGACTCGGCGGCTGCCGACATGGCCGCTTACGAAATCTGTTCAGATTACATTGACGTCATTATCGACATTACTGACGTGTACGGATCGTGGAATCGTTCTGATGCCCAACGCCAGCGCATCGAGGGCGAGCCATGGAACGCAAAGGTCGAAGACCAGGTTGCGTGCAACTGGGCCGAGAGCTGCATGGTCCTGCACGACGCCGGACGACCGATTATGCTGCGCGAGGTTGATCGGTACCTCGCCCTCGTGGCCATTATGAAGGAGGACTCGTATGACCGCATGCCGCTTGTCAACATGAATGTCGAGGCAGTGGTCCAGGGGTTGACGGAGTTCTTTGACATTACGAAGCCCCGCGGCGAGGGACAGGCGCGGCGGATCTAAGTCTTGTATTTTCGGGTGTCGCATATGTATCTATGCGTAGAATCAATGTTTCGTTTTCTTTTTCTCTTGATTTTGGTCAATCGACCGGTCAATGCCGTGATTTGTCTGAACCCCAGCTTTCATGCCACTCTGGCCACCCAAACGAACACGCCCCTGCGATGCCGAACATGATGCTCCCTTGTACGCATGGCGTTCGCAGTTCCTTTCTCTCCATCCCAGCAGTTCCCCCTCATCCCAGCAGGCACCATCACCCCGGTCGCCGACTACTCCCGACGCCTCGCCCCTTGCGCGTAGGGTGGAAGCGTCGGGGCGGGATCTGCAGCGGCCGCCGCGACGGCAACCGGACAACCTCCTATGCGTTGTCCCGCCCGGGCGTGTGCACTTGCTGCTGCTGCTGCTGCTGCTGCTGCCCGTCCTCCTGCTCCTGCCGTTGCGGCACGGCGGCGTCCGTCTCCAGGGCGAAGACGCGCCACGTCGTCCTGTCACGGCCGAGGAGACAGACGCGCGGGGGCATGTCGTCGCGGACGTCGCTTCGGGGCTGGACCTCCATGCGGACGGGGACCCAGGAGCCGCCGCCGCTGCTCTCGGGGAGGGTGAAGGACGCGGATCCGTGCGCGGCGGAGAGAGGCTCGGGCGCGGGGAGGGAGTTCTCGGTGTAGGGGGCGTACTTGGTCCCGGGCGTCTGGATGGGGAGCTGCATGATGAGGGGTTTCTTGTCTGTGATGGGGCGTCAGCACTTTTTTTCTTCTTCTTTGCGGTGGGTGGTTGGTTTGAACGTGCCGGTTGTCTTGAGCAGCAGGACGAGGGTCTCGTGGTCGAGGAATTTCATGTCGGTGATTTTGTGGTCGCTGAGACGCAGGGCGGCGCACGTCTTTGACGTTGTCGTGCTGATGCCGTTGATGATGCGCACGGTGGTGCGGAAGATGTACACTAGAGCTTCGTCAGAGTCGGCGGGACCCAGGGGTGACGACGAACCGGCTTGGCCGACAAACTTACGCTCGTCTTCTTTGCCCTCCTGTATTGCTGCCACAAAAGTCGACGCGTGGTCCTCTAGGTCGTCCTGAAAAAGAAAAAAAAAGGCATATTAGCAAAGGCGAGCAGGCGGCAACACAACGACTAGACTTACCCCGTGGACAATCGGCCCCATGACACAGTCGATCCTAGACATTTTACTGCCCATGACGATCCTGGTGGGCTGTCCGAACCTGACGCTCCGCTTCTGGGCCTCGGCAATGTCGTTGAAGATGCCGTTGGCGCGGTCCTCGAGGTACGCCACAAGAAAGGCGAGCTGCGGCAGCGCCTTCATGTAGGGCTGGCCATCTTCCTGCCGGGCAATCTGCGCATCGACAGCGTCGAGCAGCGCGGGCTCGTTCTGGACAAACTTCCAGTCGGCCTCGCGCTCGTCGTCGGCCACGGGGTCGAAGAAGAGCGCCATGGGGCTGCGCAGCAGATAACGCTGGATGTAGGCGAGCACTTTCCCATTATCCAGCCCGGCCTCCTTCTCGTTGAGCTCGTCGGTGGCCGAGCTTGACGACGCGAGCCGGTCAATCTGGAAGCGCAGCCAGCCGGAGAAGGCGGTGAAGAGGTCGAGCTCCTCCATGACGTGTAGCAGGACGCGGTGGGCGGCGAGACGCAGACAGGCGACGATGTCCATGGCGCGGGCGACCTGCGCGGCGGAAAAGCCAATGTCGTCGCGGGCATCGTGGAACTGGGCGAGGCCGCGGAGGCGGCTGAGGATGACGGCGCAGCGCTCGAGGGCCGGGAGGAGGTTCTCGTGGACGAGCGCCCGGAGGGCCTCGAGACCCGAGACGGCGGCCTTGTCCCAGCGTTTGTGGCCCTAGTCTGGGTCAGCGTCACGGGGTTGGATTGGGGGGGTTTTCGAGGTTCGTGAGATGGGTGGGCTTACGCGCTCGGCCAGCTGGTCCACGAGCCATTCCTTGACGACCTCGTGGGTGTGGCCAGTCACGACAGTATGGAAGAGAGCCTGGACAATGTCTGTCGGCCCACGCTCGGCGCCCTGTAGATCCTCCTGAATACTGCGCAGGAACTTGCTGGGGAGTTCTCGCGTGTTGTTGTACTCTACCGTGGCGTGGAGCTGCGACTGCTTCACGTATCGGAGCAGCTTCTGAAGAGTGGTCAACTTGGACGCGAGGAGGGCGAGGTTGATCGGAGAGTAAGGGACAAACGGTAAGTCCATGGGCACCAGGTAGACGGCGCGGTCCTCGTCGGCAGGGTGCTTCAGGATCAGGCAGTGGGTGGACGCTGACGGATGGGCGGCATGGTGGATGAGCTGCAGAACGCCTGGCTTGTACATGGAGCTCGGCAGCGTATAGCGAAAATCACCAATGACGAACGAGTCATAGATGCTGAGGTGCAGACGTCCGTCACTGGTGCCGACGACCATGACAAAGACCTCATCGCTCTCGGCCGTGTTGAAGGGCCGAAAGAGGAACTCGATACCAGTCCGCAAGGTGAAGACCATGGCATCCTCGCTGTCGAGTGGTCAGCAGCGTGCTCCTAGGCAGTCAAGAGGGCCAAGAAAATCGACGTACCCTTCGCCGGCACTGGCGCTCGGCAGAGGACTCAGCTTGGGCAGCGACGACTCGACATCGAGAAACGTCAGCTCGCGCGGCAGATCCAGTTCTGGTGGGTTGCCTGCCGTTTGCAGCTCTTGGTCGAGGGCATGGCGCCACGAGGCGGTCTCGGCCTCCTTGGGAACGCTGTCTGTCTTGGAGACGCTGTTGCACGCCCAGCCAATGTGGGTGATGCCGGCAGACTGGTCCTCGGTGACGCGAATATGATGGGCCGCCTTGTTGTTCTCGAGACCCATCAGCCTGACGTAGCCATCGCTCCAGCCGACGGCGAGAAATTGACCTTGTCCACGGTCAGCAGCTTGCCTGTCAGCTCCGAGGATTGGGATGCCCTACCGTCGGGTTTCCACTTGAGAGCGAGGGGCTCTGGGGCTGTCGTGCCTGGGCGGGCGTATTGGTGGATCTTGGAGACGACCTGGTCCCTTGGGCGGTAGATGAGGAGGTTCCGGGCGGCGGCATCCCAGGTGACGGACAGGTCGACGGTGGGATTGCTCTTGGGTAAGCCATCGGGCACGCGATGATCGAACTTGGTCTCGCTGATGAGACGCAGGGGCTGGGGTTCAGCCATGGGTGGTGGTTGAGATGGGGGACCGCCGCAACGCGCCAAGCAGCATTGTTGCTTTTGATATCACGGATAGCAGTATCGCTCCGTTGCCATCCGAGTAACCCTTGACAGAACGAGGATTCAGAAACGAGAAGGAGTTCGGCCAAGGATGGCACTTCAGCAGAGGGCGTATCCGGGCTTGAAGTAGACGGGGTTGCCCGAGAAGGTAGGTAGGTAGGTAGGTAGGTAGGTAGGTATGCCTGGTAGTTAGGTACCTTGGTGGTGTAGTATT